TATCATATGATTACTTTTGGAAAGGTACTTTATTAGGATCTGCAGATGAATTTGTTCTCTTTTGGAACTAGTAGACAAATATTCCCTAGAAAGGGTAATAAGTATTTTTTTTCCAATCATCGCAGGTGTTCTGTACAAAAAACAAGCCAAATTGCAATGCTTGTCCAATGAGAAGCGAATGCAGGCATTTCGCAAGTGCCTTCGCAAGGTATTATCACAGTTTTTACTCTTTAAGAAATAGTAACCTACATTCAATGAGCAAAAAACAAGAATCTTAAGAAGCAACCAGGAGACTTGAAAAAAATTAGCACTGATTGGACTTGCATAATTGATTCTTGCACCAATTGCCTTCTGTTGGTTTAGATTTGTGAGATACATTAGTTCCATTCAGAGTATAACATGCTACTAATCAGATGGTTTTGTTAGTTTCGATACAAACATCATATTTCTTATCTTTTGTGCAACCAAAACTTATGTGACACCTATCTCGGACTCTTGGTCTTAACTGGGAGCTCTTACTTCTGCGTACTTATTGATTTGTGGATTTCTTATCCTTCTGAATCTTCTTCTGTTTTCCTGATTCCTTTTAATGAAGTGCACGGCTTGCACTTCCTGCACCTCAGGAGAAAAGTTTGGTGATGTCGAGCAATCAATTCAGTTTCCAGAGTGGTGGCATGCCAACTCCATACTCAACTGTGCTTCCTCAGCTTGAGGGAAGTGCCCAGGGACAGGATTTTTGCACTAACAATTCAGAGCCAATTATTGAGGAGCCAGCAAGTCCAGCACGGGAAGAATGTCCAGAAACTCTTGAAAATGATATTGAAGATTACGATCCAGATACTGGTGAAATCCCACTAATTAAGCTTAACTTGCAAGCTTTTGCTCAGAACTTGGAAAACTGCATTAAAGAAAGCAATATGGATCTTGGGTCTGATGATATCGCGAAAGCACTTGTTGCTGTTAGCACTGGATCAGCTTCAATTCCTGTCCCTAAACTAAAGAACGTGCGCAGGCTTCGGACAGAACACTATGTGTAAGCAGTGATCTGATTTTGCTTTGGCTTAAACTTGCATGACTTTACACTTACTATATAGCTACTGTTTTCCAATGTAAATAATATTATTTATCTAGAAAATGCTCAGTTCTTTGATTTCCATCACTGAAGTAAGATTTTCCCTGCAGTTACGAAATTCCAGATTCACACTCCCTTGTGCAGCAGGTTAGATACTGTCACTTACATTTAAGCTTTTGAAAACATTGTTCCTGACCCAGAAAATGATTTACAGCTAGGACTTGATCAACGGGAAACTGGCGATCCAAGCCCTTACCTATTGACGATATGGATGCAAGGCAAGCTTATTTTATTTGAGAATGCATGACTGCACATGTAATTTGACTGCACTTGTAAGTTGATCTTAAGTGGATATTGTGGCTCAATGCAGATGACATAAATGAAATGATCAAGGCCCCCAAACCATGTTCTGACTCTCCGATGGAAGATCGATTTTGTAATAATGAGAAGTGCCAGTATTGTGTGCTTGAGCGGGAAAACCAATCTAGATATGTCAGAGCCACCATTCTGGTAAAGCAATAATTACCTGGCAATCTTGAATACCGTTTAGAGTAGAGATGTTAGTTTATGTAACGTGAGCAAAGCCATCCTAGAAGTAGGCCACATATAAATTCCTGAATTATTGAATTTGCATAATAAAATAAAATAACAGAGTTGTTAGTCAATCTCTTAACTCATAAAGCATTTTACTTCAAGGAAAAGTTGAAGGTTAACATAGTGTGTTTAATTTATATCTTTGCTCAAATACACATTTGTGCTGTATCTAGCCTGTGTTTGTTGCATGATAATAATCTATAATCTTTGCTCAAAAGAAGAACATCCGTGTATGTTTTGACCTTCTGGGCCAGTCCAGGTGTACTAAAAATATATTGGTGAGCTACATAATAACATAATACACACTAACATTTTAAGAATTATATGAATAACTCATTGCTGGTCGATCAAATGCACTTCTGTTCTTTATATTTAACTTGTACTCCCTCCGTTCCAAAATAGATGACCCAACTTTGTACTAAAGTTAGTACAAAGTTGAGTCATCTATTTTAGAACGGAGGGAGTATTTATTGCATGAGAATAATCTATAGTACTGGCGCTGAAAAAGGGTTGCATAAATGTGAGTTTCTTAGCCATTCCATCTATGCAAAATAATATTATTAGTGAGCTACTAAATACTTGAGGTTTATTAATAATATAATAATTCATTGTTGTCTGCAAAATTGCATGTGCTTCTCCAGTCTACTAATGACGAGTTACTGGAACATTAACAGGTTCCGTGTCGAACAGCTACGAAGGGTAGTTTCCCACTGAACGGCACTTATTTTCAAGTTAATGAGGTATGTCATAGACCCACATATTTCTTTTTCCTCATGAATAGGGTAGAGATAAGCTGCGAGCCATGGGCCTCCCCTCTACAGAGTTGATTTTCAATGTTTTTGTGAATTTATTGACGCAGGTATTTGCAGACCACAAATCTAGCTACGATCCCATATACGTTGCAAGGGAGCAGTTATGGAAGTTGGAAAGACGAATGGTCTACTTTGGAACTTCAGTGCCCTCCATATTCAAAGGTCGTGACCAACATACATCACCAATTCAGACAAATTATCTGTAATTACCAACAGCTCTTATTTTCCTCTGCAGGTCTAACAACTGAAGAAATACAGCAGTGCTTCTGGAAAGGTAAGAACAATACGTTTCAGTTAGGTTGCCAATGCATTTTACCATGGGGGAACATCTTGCTGCCTCTTGTCGTTCATCAATTTGCAAAATGAAGATCACATGATATAACCATTGTTTTATGAGTAAGGGTATGCATTAATGCTTGAACAGACATGCCCATGTACCGTATGCTGAGAACTGCTAGATCATCAGTATGAAATACAGCACTGAACTAACTAAAGTGGAATTTATCTTTGAAATGCACCAACTGTGGTGTAAAGCAATTTCCAGGCTCAAGTTAAAAATAGTGGAAGCCTCTTGTTCTCTCCAAACAACCAAGGCTATGGCTCCAAAGGATTTCTTTTTGCATTTTCCTTTTTCTTATATGGGCCTCATCTTTTTTGCATTTACAAAGGATTGCTTCTGTTGCTTGTGAACTTATTCGGGTGGAAAGGGATGATCTTTCTCCATAATTTATCTGGAGTTTCCCTCACAAGAGAGTGTGATGCTGTGGTGCAGGATTTGTCTGTGTGCGGGGATTCGAGAGGGAAACCGGGGCACCAAGGCCTCTATGCCAACATCTGCACGTCGCGGCTAGCAAAGTGCCGAGATCACGCAACGCGGCAGCAGCTGGGCTGAACTCGGATTCAGCAAAGGCATCGGCTCCATGAGTATCATCACACCGGCTATCGACCTGTGCATGGGTACGCTAGTGTTGGTTCCTGCCGGGCTACAGCCGTTCTTGTAGGAAATAAACCGCTGCGCAAGAGAATTATCATCCAGTTGGTCTGAGTGTATACTTCTGCTGTAGTACCTTTTTTAAAATCCCTGTGAGCTCTATTGTACCTTGAATTTACTTTCCGACCAGTTTATCCGCTTGCAAAGAGGCCTTTGTTATGTACCGGCATCTTGTTGTATATACATCATGGTTCCTCTGAAAAACTTGTCTTGCCAGACGACCTTACGTATGTATGCGCAACTTATTTTCATGTGCCATTATTTCTTCAGTAACTGGCAGTTTTGTGGAGGTATAAAGTGTGTCATATAATCCCAAACTCCGGTGGCAGCGTGGCGATCCGTGAAGCTGCAATGTAGAAATATGTTTGCCAAGTTCTCTAAGGTGAGAAAGATCAGCATCGAGATTATTCATACTAGCGAAAAATTGCCAAAGTTGTGTAAGGTGAGAGGGATCGATTTGGAGATTATCCTTACTAGCAAAGCCATATCAATAATCAATAGCAAATGATCATGCATGGTCATTCTTGGATTGGGAGGTTGTAGAAGGAAGCCAGTTGAATGCCTGAAGACAAATAAGTTAGCCAAGTTATCTGAGTTTAGAAAGATCAATTTCAAGATTACTCGTCTCACCAGCAAGCCTCATCAATAATGGCAAATAATCAACGCCCGTCGTGCATGGTGGTGGTTGTTGGATTGGGACGCTGAAGAAGCAAGGCAATTGGATGCTTGAATGGACAAATATGTTTGCCAAGTTGTCTGAGTTGAGAAGGATCAGTTCCGAGATTAGTTCCACTGGCCAAGCCATGGCAAATAATCAAGATTCGTCATGCAGGGTCATTTTTGGGTTAGGAGGTGGAGACTGAAGATCATTCTTGGGTTAGGAGGTGGAGACTGAAGAAGGAAAGACAATTGAAACAAGGGAGTAGAAGTTGAAGAGCAGAAGCTTGATAAAACAGTATCCCGCAAAATCGGCGGGCGGTTACGAACCCTCTTTGAAATCCTCATGGAGGTCTATGGGCGGGCGGTTGCTTACACTACTTAAAATCCTCCTCCATGGAGAGGTCTATATACATTGGTGGGCGGTTACTTACTACTTAAAATCCTCCTCCATGACCATGGAGGTCCATATACATGAGTGGGCACTTGCTTATTACTACTTAAAATCCTCCTCCATGGAGGTCTATATACATGAGTGGGGAGTTACTTACTACTTCAAATCCTCCTCCATGGAGCCATGGAGGTGTACACATGGGTGGGTGGTTACTTACTATTTCAAATCCTCCATGGAGGTCTATGGGCCGGCACGATTAAACAGCCTCGCGCAATTATGCATGCCTGTTCCAGTCCAGCAAATTCGCGGTGCAGCTGCAGCGTTTTCTCTTCTCTCTCTCTCTCTTTTTCTTCTTGCGAAGAGAAAACGCTCCCTTCTTGTGGCTTCCTGTATATATAGGAGATGGTACACCGTGACTTGATCAACAAACTTGCACCGTGTGACCAGAACAACTGAGACAGACAGAGAGGTGCGTCCACCATGGCTCTCCATCGCCTCACCAAGCTGATGGTGTGCTTGCTCGCAACCACGGCACTCTTGCTTGCCGGCGGCGCGGCAGGCAAGGCTGGCCCGCCAGCTGGCGGCCACGGCACCGGAGCCCTGCCACCGCTACCTCCCGCGGCAGCTCCTCTGCGGCGGGCTCGTGGCGCCGTCGCTCTCGTCCTGCCAGAAGCCCAAGACCAAGAGAGCCAGGGCGCCGGAGCACGCCCACCGCTGCCTCCGGCCGGAGCTCCTCTGCCGCGCTCCCGTGGCACTGGAGCCCTGCCACCGCTACCTCCCGCTGCAGCTCCTCTGCGGCGCGCCCATGGCGCCCTCGCCCTCGTCCTTCCAGAATTCAAAGGCCAAGAAATCCAGGGCGCCGGAGCACGCCCACCGCTGCCTCCGGCCGGAGCTCCTCTGCCGCGCTCCCGTGGCACTGGAGCCCTGCCATCGCTACCTCCCGCTGCGGCTCCTCTGCGGCGCGCCCGTGGCGGCGTCCTGCCACCGCTACCTCCCGCCGGCGTGGAGACGATCACGACGCTGCAGTCCGACCCGTCGCCGGCGATGAAGATCACTTACCAAGTCAAGGCAAAGTACATGAACTTCCAGCAAAGCCTTTACTTGTTTCTGACGCCCAGCGGGAGGGAGGTGGAAAACGTTCGCGAGCTGGCTCCCCATACGGGCCCCAAGAAGCAGCCGCCGATGTGGATCCTGATCACCATCGAAGGCGAGACGCCGAAGGAGGCGGTAGTTCTCGCCGTGCGGACCGACAATGTCTACATCGTCGGTTTCAAGAATGCGGCGGGAGTCTGGTTCGCCTTCCCCGAGGACAAAGACCTGATCAAAGGTTCGACGCCGCTCCCCAAGGTGCATGACTACGGCAGCCTCGTTGGCGGCCGCAAGAAGCTGAAGGACCTCGACATCAACCGGGACGCCGTCGCGCAAGACGTTCGCTTCCTGTCGACGTATAGGCTCCCTTCCCGGCCGGACGAGGCCCACAACGCCAAGCTCGGTACCAGCCTGGGGAGGCTGTGCCTTGTGGTCTCCGAGGCGGCCAGGTTCAAGACGATCAACGCCACGGTGGTGGCGGCGATGGACGAGCAAGGAGGCCCGAGCCGGATCACCGAACGAGACACGAAGCTCATCGTCGTTTGGGGCGTGACGTCCAAGGCGCTGCTTGATTGGAAAAAGGATGGAGTATGGAACCCGAAAGATAGCGAGGACGTAGAAGAAGCGGGCATCCACGGCGCACAAGATGCCGTTAGCGCGCTCAAGGTTATCCTTTTGCCCATTGGGTACAAACGGGAGGCTGAGGAAGATTAAGCAGCTTGAGAAGGTTGAGAAGGCTGAGAAAAAGAAGGTGAATGCCGAGTTAGAAAAGAAGAGCCCCAAAACACAGAGAATTATTGGGCTTAATTATTATGTACTCACCTAGTAGCAGTATAATGTATGTGCATGCATGCACCAATAAATAAACAAAGGCTAGTGTTAATTGACCAATGTGGAAAAACTTGGTTGTTTCTGATGCCTCTTTACGCTTGAGCACTGTGAAATTTCATACTACTAGCTACTACGTACTCCCTCCGTTTCTTTATATAAGATGTATTTGTTTTTGATAAAATTTTAGAATATAAGATGCATTCCTTCTAATTCTTCATAATTTCCTTGTTAGCCCTTCAGAAAAAAGAAAAGTATGCCTCATGATTGCCTATATCTCTCTTTGTAGTAAAAAAAAAAGATACTCCCTCCGTTCCAAAATAGATTACTTTTCTGGACTAACTGATATACTTGCCACTAATCAACAAATTTGTCAAGGGTAATTTCTTCCTAACTAGTCTATAATTATGTGCCTTGGTCACCGTGCCGAAAATAATACACCTTACATAAAGGAACAGAGGGAGTATTACCGAAAAATGTTTTCACACCGCTTTATATATAAAACAATGATCATCAATCATCCGATACAAACGCACGCCACCACAACACACGCACACACTCAGGACATGATACATAGGCGCTGAGCACAACAATATCACTCCTAGCACAACCACGGGGAAGAGATGAAGCCGCATATGACGAACATAATTTGTTCCAAGGTCATAGTGTAATTGACAAAAAATCGTCTACATGTGCCTTTTGCAGTTCTCTGAATGAATGATTCTCTTGTGCCATCTGTCACTGCATACCCCCAGAAAAGTTCTCCTATAAGTCAAGCCAACCGAGATACAACGAATGCAGAATTGAACATTCTAACCCTTATTCACTTGAGGTTGATTATGTAAAATCATGTGCAGAACTGTACATATGTTGCATTTTTCGATCATCGTATCTACAGCATATCACTTTTGTAGCATTTGCTGGACTACATGATAGTTGTTTAGCATCTCTCCTAGTACTGCAACTAATGATAGTAAAAGTTCCAAATTTACAGGATAGCAGCTACCAATAATCTTGCATTTATCGTGAAGCAAACGAACTCAGCTATAGAGGCACAAAAATGGTAACCTCATGTAGCCCCAGGACTCTGGAGTGGACGTCGTTGGAGGTGTGCTCTGCCAGCTCTGCGTACCAAGTCTTCTTCACTGGCTTGGAGCGATTTCTCGTTCTATTTCCTTCAGTCATGGGTTTGTTTTTCATTCTCTTTATTCGGTCCTTATCTTTTTCTCATTCTCTTTGCTTAAGCATTTTGCATTTGCTTAATTTTGTCACATACTGCATTCTCTTCTTGTGTTCTTGTCTCTCTTTTTTTCTCATTCTCAATAGTTCCGCATACCATATTTCTCATGGTTAGGGTAAGACAATAGTTTTTTGTGTAATTTTTATGTTCTTTTGGATGCATATCCATACAAAGGGTTACCACTACATATAAGCATTTGATGAGGAAGGAAAAGTGAACAAAGCAAGTTACAAATCTTTTCTCATTCTCTTTATTGAAACATTTTGCATTTGCTTCATCTTGTCACATACTGCATTCTCTTCTTGTGTTCTTGTCTCTCTTCTTTCTCATTCTCAGTAGTTCCGCATGCCATATTTCTCATGGTTAGGGTAAGACAATAGCTTTGCATCTAACTTTTATGTTCTTTTGAATGCATATTCATACAACGATCATTTGAAGAGAAATTTAATTGTTACCAAAATGAAAATCTATCCGGTGTTCATTACTAAAAAAATCCCAATAACTATGTACCCTGCACTTGCAGAGAAAATGGTTGTGATGTTTTATGCATGCTAATGGGCCTAAGCCTGTAGGCTTTGAGGCCTTGGCCATCACAAGCGACTGTAGCCTGGGGATAGATTTTGTGGTTTTTTCAAACTTAAAATTATATCAAAAAAGTGTAAGCTCTGTAAACCGTGTTTTCTGATAACCTAGTCATTAATGTGGTGGGTTCTTACAATTACTCCAAAATGGTGTAAATTTATTTCCTGAAAGTATTATTTTTTGCAGCAGAAACAAATTTGTAACCACCTTAGTACTCCCTCCGTCCCAAATTACTTAACGTAGAAATGGAGGGTGATTTTATCTATACAAACAAGGTGTCAAGACTCGGTCACCAACAAGGAAATAGGTGGCAGCAATCAAGGTGAAGAATTGGAGAAAGGAACATCACCAGTTCAGTCAGCACAATACTCGTCTTGGTTGTTAGAGAAAACAAAAGAATGATATTAATTGTAAATCTATCGAGCAGCAATTAACACCTGCGTTCATAGCCAAGACTGACCTGAAAGCTTTCTCCGATTGCTACTTAAAGGGACTATTCCCTTTCACTTATACAATATTAAATCCCTAACTCCCGTAAGATTCTCGAGCCAATAATACTTACTTGGAGATTCACAAATTATCAGAGAATTAATTAACTTGTGTTCTACTAAGGACAAAAAAAGGAAGCAGACATTAAAATGCAGAATCGGCTCTTGGAGTGTTGTTGAGCATAAGAAGATGATTTCCTTGTGATTTTAATTATGCTTTCTATGCTAGATTACAAATCTAAGACTGTAAATAAACAGCTTTAGACTATTGTTGGGTCTGTTTACTCATTTGTGTTGAACACGTCGAAGATATTACAAATAAGAACACGATTGACTATCAATTTACTTGCAGTCTGAAAATTGTCGAGCAGCAAACTTGGAACTACCGTTGAGGATTCACACATGAAGACACATGCATGTTTAGCTTTTATGATAGCACTCTCGAACTAGGCTTTCGCCCCGCTTTATAAATAAAGCCAACCTCTATACAACCAAGTACCAGAGGACCAATAGTAGGAACAGAGGCTGGGGCCACAACACAAGCACGCCCAAGAAACGAAGAAGAAACAAAAAAAGGCCACCTAGTGGCAAACTCCGAAGCAAGCCCAAGGAGCAGAAAGACGTCGCGCCGCTGCCACTAGCACATCCAACATCGCTCCAAGCCGATCACGGACCCACTGTCTAGCAAGCGGGTGCCAGTGCTGTAAAAAGCAAGAAAATTGAAGAACGAGTCAGAAGTCCGTTGCGGGAAGATCCGCTCAATCGCCATTTTGTTGCAAGTTATCCAAAGAGTCCACGTCAATGCCGTAAAGATACACCAAAAAAGGCGGCGCTTGCGACCCCAAAAAAGACGACACTTGCGACCTGGTTGGGTCGCCCTGGCTTGCAGAAACTCAGCCAGGTCTCCGGCCTCCCAATCGGGCCCGAGTGCCGCCCGAATAAAGCTTCATAGAGCCTGTGCCGTAGAACTGGAGAACAGGATGTGAGTGCCCGTCTCTAGAACACTACAAAGGGGGCACACGCCATCGCCCGGACCGTTGCGCTTAAAGACCTCAGTCCCCGAGGGCAAGCGGTTCCGGAGCAGCTGCCAGACGAATATTTTTATTTTAAGCGGCACAGGGGCATTCCACAGTGGCATTCCACAGTGGTGATAGCCACCGTATGGCCAGAGCGTGACACAGCGCTGATATGCCGAACTAACGGAGAATTCTCCCGAAGAAGAGAGACTCCAGGAGACAATGTTAGGGGACTGTGATAGCCCCGACGGGACGGCCGAAGGAGAGAGACTCCAGGAGACAATGTCAGGGGACTGTGATAGCCTCGACCCGACGGGACGGCCGAAGGAGAGAGACTCCAGGAGACAATGTCAGGGGACTGTGATAGCCTCGACGGGACAGCGGCCCTCAGTCTGTCCCATTCCAGAGCCTCCTCCCATTCCAGAGCCTCCTCCTGGCCAAATGCTCGACGGAACGCGATGTTCCACTAGCCGTCTACCCACGCCACGGAAACCAGAATATACAGGTCCGAACTAATAGCAAAAAGGCTAGGGAAACAAATGCGTAGTGGCTCATCACCCAACCAATGACCGAGCCAGAATTGAGTGTCATTAATTCCCATTCCCAACCGAGAAGATGGCATCGAACCGGATCTCGTGCTTAATCTTCTGGATGGATTTCCATAATTGAGACCCAGCTACGCGCGAGCATGTCAAGAGGGGCGCACCCCACAAGTATTTCGCTTGAAGTTGCAACCACAAACCGCCCTCTCCACGCAAGATCCTCCAAACCCAACGCAACATCAGGGCAACACTCATGCGTCGAGAGGCCGTCATACCTAGCCCACCTCGATCTTTAGGTAGGCAGATGTCCGCCCATTTGACCATGTGGTATTTTGGGCGGCCATCGGCAGCAGCCTGCCAGAAGAACCTTTGCCAGCTCCTTATGATAGCACTCCGTGGTAGAAGAGCCGCTTACCCACTGGTGATGAAGATGAACTCAAAGATGCACACCAACATGATTTCCTTGGAGCTGGAAATTAAGAACTGACAACATGAAATTAACAACTCAATAACGCAATATACAAGATATCTCATTACAAACAAAGTGGGAAAAAAAACAATGATGCTCCTAGCAGTTATAGGTTGGAAACTTTCCCTTATCAACACGAACCTTGAGGCCAACATATTTACCAAAATGACAGGGTTTTTTTTTTGAAGGTAAAAAGCAAGAACAGGTATAATTATGCTTGCACACTCTTAATCGAAGTGGGGTACGTATGTTGCTGATGAGAAACTCTGAAGACAACACGAGCAAGCCAAATATGACCTAGGCAATCAATAAACAAGTTCCATCCTTCAGCAATGGAGGCAAGTGGATGCCACAATACTTGTAAAATTTACACACAGACTAGAGGGATATTGTGGAAAGAAACAAAATGATGATTAACTTAAGAAATCTAACTAAGAAACTAACCTGTGAGCCAATAGAATTTCTAAACAATGCTACAGAAACAAGCCAATCCTATTCTTTGAGCCAAGATGACTAGCCTGATGAATTATATATGGATACATCAATCAG